TCTTTCAAAAACAGAAAGCGCCATGCATATATTAACATTTATGTATCAAGGGGTGACCACAGTTCAGTATTCAGGCACATGTTTTGCACAAAAAGGTACAACTTCCTGATTGTTTTAATTAGAGGTTAAAAGGGGTACTGCCTTTGACGCTGGGAAACGGCTTTTAATCAAAATGGCCACTGCTTGGATAGATGGGCTTGATTGTTGTTGAACATAGAATAAGAGAGTTATATTTCCATAGATATGTGTGACATGTTGCTATTATAACACTTTAAAGGGGGGGGGGGAAATCAACAGTTATGTCTTTAGGTTTAATGAATCTCAGTTTCTCTGTTTTTGTGTTTTGAACATTGGCATGATTATCTGCATTTTAAAAGTAACAGAAAACCTGATCAAGACTGTCAGATTAATTTACCATCCAAAACCAACATCGCACCAAATTTCTACTTATGTATATCTAACATAGGCATGTATTCTCCAGTGAGGCAAGTGTTTTCCTGAAGTTGAGCATGCCCCCCCCCCACAACATGGGATGGTAACTTATAGTTCTGCAAAGGACAAGGGTACCAGACTGCACAATAGGGGTTAAGTCTTGGTCAATTTGCCAAGACACTAACAACAATGAGGACCCCATGAGACTTCGGGAATGGCTAGACCTTGGGGTCTCTGCCTCTCTCGAGAGCTGTAGTTTCCCCAAGGACCAAGGACCTGCTTCGTTCTCAGCTCTGCAGAACTCCATCCTTTGGCTCAGTAGAACTCCATGGATTCCTTTGCATGACTTATTGGTTTCTGCCCCTATTCTGGACTTCACTCTCCCCAAGGACTCACTCTCTACCCAGGAACTTTCTTCAAGACAACTTATGAATTCATGTTGTGTCATGATATCGTTTGCATTTTATTATTGTTATTATTAATTCCTCTCTGGGGATATTTTTACACATGTTGATTCACAACACTCAAAACACAATAGGTCAGCCCTGCTTGAGCTTTTTGTCTCGCAGGCCACATGACATTTCCTTTTTTAAGACTCATTCACAGATTCCTTTGTGTTCTCTATTGTCCCGCCTCCCTCTCTTCTGATTTGTTGTCGCCGCCAGGCGGCAGAGGTCTCCCCATTGGATCCTACGGACCACTGGAGCTTCCTGATTGGTCCAGAGTCGCCAGGGGTGGGAGGGCCGCCTCCCAGCTGTTTGCCCATCGTCCAATAACAGTGGAAGGTGGCAGGGAGGCCGGGGCGGGAAGTCTGAATTCTGCAACTTTGAATTTACTATAAATATGACTGTATTGGTGTATTCTCCTCATGCTCTGCTGGCGAATGATTGCAGCTCTGCATCCTTTTCAGCTGAATCGCTAATAAACCTCGATGGCTTTTCTTCAACTTGGTGAGACCTTTCATTGGGAAGATCAGGGAAAAATATTTGGTGCTTCTCTGTCTCGCCAGGGAAAAAGAACTCTTTGATGAGTCTAATTGGTCTCTGCCTCCTGGCAAAGACCCCTAAATTCTAGCTCTAGATCATTCCTGCCAGTATTTTAACAAAACCATTTTAACATGTGAACACAGAATGTCACAAAGTGTAAAAAAATTAACTGTTTCAGAACTGTCTTGTAATTAACAGAATTATTTTAAGCTTAGTTGCTTCTGAGATTGGTTTGATGTCTGTGCCAAAGACATAGGCATAAAATTCTAATTTCTAACTCACTGAGTGCTGTTGGCATTTACCAATTTGCTTATATCATTAAGCATTGTTTAGCACCCAGGAAAATTCAAACAAGCATGACAAAAAGCTGAGATTTTGTCTCTTTAATGGTATCTGTGTATATTTAGGTATTTTAAAAAAACAGTCTTGGTCCCTTTGACCAAAAACAACAAAAAGTCTTGTGATGCCGTAAAGACTGACAAATGCATTTTATGAGCTTTAATAGGCTGCAGTTCCTCTGAAACATTAAATTTGTCTTCCTGTATTTCAGGCACGTATGTTAGGAATTGTAAACTGCGAGGTGTGGGGGAAATTAAATGCAGAAGGTACTGAAAGTCTCTAACCTTCCATTTTTAACAAGGTTTTGGAGTAGTGGCCTCCCAGTTCCAGGAGCAAATATGATTTAGATCAGTTTCTTAAACTGTGCTCCTCTAGATCAGTGTTTCTCAACCTGGGGGTTGCGGCCCCTGCGAAGGTCACGAAGGGGTTTGAGAAGGGTCGCCCACGACCATCAGAAAACACATATTTCTGATGGTCTTGAGAACCACTTTGGCAGAGAAGGCTGAAGATCTATCTGCCTGTCCTTCTCTTCTTTTTTGGAAACGGATGGCAAATCCTCCCACCAAAAGCCCTCCTCCTGCTCTTTGGATGTAGGTGAACTACAACTCCAAAACTCAAGGTCAAGATGATGGTCCTCCAAGTGAAGTGTCATGGCAGTGGGTCCGTAGGTGGCTATGGAGCCCTGTTCTTGATCCACATGTTCTCTCATTCTATGATTGGTGTGGTTCAGAATGGTCTTTGATTGTAGGTGAACTATAAATCCCAGTGATTACAACTCCCAAATGTCAAGGTCTATTTTCCCCAAACTACACAAGAGTTCTCATTTGGACATATTAAGTATTCATGCCAAGTTTGGTCCAGATCCATCAGTCCACAGTGCTGTCTGGATGTAGGTGAACTACATGCCCACTAAACGTTTCCAGTATTTTCTGTTCATCATGGGAGTTCTGTGTGCCAAGTTTGGTTCAATTCCATTGTTGATGGAGTTCAGAATGCTCTTTGATTGTGGGTGAACTATAAATCCCCGTGATTACAGCTCCCAAATGTTACGGTCTATTTTCCACAAACTCAACTAGCGTCCACATTTCGGCACATTGAGTGCCAAGTTTGGTCCAGATCCACCATTGTTTGAGTCCACAGTGCTCTCTGGATGTAGGTGAACTACAACTCCCAAACTCAAGGTCATGCTCACCAAATCCTTCCAGTATTTCCTCTTGGTCATGGGAGGTCTTTGTGCCACTGCCATATAAACCAGTTCAAAGCAGACAATCTGGATTTTATATGGTAACGCAGAAGGGGCCAGAGAGACCTGAAAGACCAAAATTGGTAGCATACAGCTTTCGTGGAGTAGGAGGCCATCCACACTGTGACTTAAAACCATTTTGCCATTATATTCCCTGAGCCCTTCCCCACAGCCCTACATCCCAGAATATCAAGGCAGAAAATCCCACAATATCTGCTTTGAACTGGGTTATCAGGAGCTTTTTTGTTGAGTCCCAGGGCCAGAGAAGCAGATGGCGGAAACAGAAGAACGGCCTGCCTCAGGGGAGCATGCTTGCTCCATCCATGTTCAACATATACACAAATGAACAGCCACTGCCAGAAGGGACAGAGAGTTTCATCTATGCTGATGATCGTGCCATTACTGCTCAAGCAGGGAGCTTTGAGATGGTAGAACAGATGCTCTCCGAAGCTCTAGATGCTCTTACTGCCTATTACAGGAAAATCCAGCTGATCCCCAACCCATCTAAAACACAGACATGTGCCTTTCACCTTAAGAACAGACGAGCATCCCGAGCTCTGAGGATTACCTGGGAAGGAATCCCACTGGAGCATTGCAGCGCACCCAAATACCTGGGAGTCACTCTGGACCGTGCTCTGACCTACAATAAGCACTGCCTGAACATCAAGCAAAAAGTGGGTGATAGAAACAATATCATACGAAAGCTGACTGGCACAACCTGGGGATCACAACCAGACACAGTGAAGACATCTGCCCTTGCGCTGTGCTACTCTGCTGCTGAGTATGCATGCCCAGTGTGGAACACATCTCACCACGCTAAACAGTCTTAATGAGACATGCCACATTATCATGGGGTGTCTGTGCCCTACACCACTGGAGAAATTACATTGCTTAGCCGGTATTGCACCACCTGACATCCGCCGGGAAGTAGCAGCCAATAGTGAAAGGACCAAGGCAGAGACATCTCCAGCTCATCCCCTGTTTGGGTATCAGCCAGCACATCAACGACTTAAATCTAGAAATAGTTTTCTAAGATCTACAGAGACACTCGCTGGAACACCTCAGCAAGCGAGAGTCCAAAAGTGGCAGGCTCAAACCCAGAACCTCAACCAATGGCTGATACCAAATGAGAGACTCCCCCCTGGGCACACAGAGGACTGGGCGACTTGGAAGGCGCTGAACAGACTGCGCTCTGGCACCACGAGATGCAGAGCCAACCTTAGAAATGGGGCTACAAAGTGGAATCCTCGACATGCGAGTGTGGAGAGGAGCAAACCACTGACCACCTGCTGCAATGCAACCTGAGCCCTGCCACATGCACAATGGAGGACCTCCTTGCAGCAACACCAGAGGCACTCCAAGTGGCCAGATACTGGTCAAAGGACATTTAATCAACTACCAAACTCACAAATGTTGTATTTTGTCTGTTTGTTTGCTTTGTTCTGTTAGAAATGTAATATAATTGACTGGTTGCTCTGACACGACAAATAAATCTGAGTCCACACTCAGATAATATGGGTTTTTCTGCCTTGATATTCTGGGATAAAGGGCTGTGTGGAAGGGCTCCCTTCCACGCTGCCCTTATTTCCCAGGACCTGATCCCAGATTATCTGCTTTGCACTGGATTATGAGACTCCACTGCCAGATAATCTGGCTACAACTCCCTGGATCCCATGGCATGGATTCATGGCAACTGAAGTGGTGTCAAACTGCATACATTCCACAGTATGGACGCAGCCTATTTCCACGGATGCAGCGGAATTCTGGAGGGGGAGGGGTGTGGGCGGGCCTTAGCGAGAGAGAGCTGTCAATCTGCATTGCCTGGCTTGCCGGGAGCACGAGCAGGAGTTCCTTTCCGGGCGCTCCAAAAAAGGAAACAAAATGGCGGCGGGAGTGTGCGGCCGACAAAAGGCGGCCGCCTCAGCCTGGCGTTCTCCACTGCGGCTGCGCGGAAGGCGAGCACCGGATGTTTTGCTGAGGGACTTCCGGTTGAGAGTTCTGGACAGCCGTTTCCGGCGTTAAACAAGGCTAGCGGCCCTTCTTTTCACATTTGAGGGGAAAATATGGACATCCTCAAAGCAGAAATTGCGCGGAAGCGAAAGCTGCTGGAGGAGAAAGAGCTGCTGGCGGTAAGGGGCGCGCGGAAGAAAGCGTAGGCGGGAAATAAAACGTCCAACAGGTGGAGTTTCCCTCAGCGTGGCGCTTGCTGGAGTTTCAGTTAAAAGGCTTTGAGGCCTACAAAGGGGGGGGGAGGGGGTTGGCAACGAGTCCTTTCAACGTGGACAGCTATAGCATTCAGAGGCGGCCCTAGGTAATTTTCAGTGGTAAGCAAACAGTATTTTGGCGCCCCCCCCCAACCATATATATATATATAGGGGCATGTGTATATATATGTATGCATATACATATATATATGGGCATGGATAAATTTCGGCCCTCCAGGTATTTGTACACCTATGTTGTACACCGCAGTGAGTCGCCCCTGGGCTGAGAACAGCGGTATATAAGCAAAGTAAATAAATAAATAAATTTGGGACTCCCTACTGGCTATTTGGAATTGTAGGAGTTGAAGTCCAAAACACATGGAAGGCTGAGGTTGTCCCATGCCATCTATCTATCTATATATATATATACACACACACACACAGCTGTCCCCTGACACGCGTTGCTGTGATCTAGTCTGGTGATCTTGAAAAGAAAGTAATGAGAAAGTTGGTTTCTAATAGATGTAATTTCTTGATGCTTGTGTGTAAACAGTACCTGGTAGTTATTCCACAGATATATAAACCTCACTTGCCTAGTTTCCAACAGAACTCACAACCTCTGAGGATGCCTGCCACAGATATGGGCGAAACGTCAGGAGAGAATGCTTCTAGAACATGGCCAAACTCACAGCAACCCAATATTCCAATCCATTCAAAAAACACTATGGTTTCAGATAGTGACCAGTCAATTGCAAAAGGGCCAACACTGCCCAAATCCCTCTTATTTCACATCTCAGAGAGTTCCACTGCTGAACGGCTCTCACAGTCAGGAAGTTCTTCCTCATGTTCAGATGGAATCTCCTTTCTTGTAGTTTGAAGCCATAGTTCCGCGTCCTAGTCTCCAGGGAAGCAGAAAACAAGCTTGCTCCCTCCTCCCTGTGGCTTCCTCTCACATATTTATACATGGCTATCATATCCTCTCAGCCTTCTCTTCTTCAGGCTAAACATGCCCAGCTCCTTAAGCCCTCCTCATAGGGCTTGTTCTCCAGACCCTTGATCATTTTAGTCGCCCTCCTCTGGACACATTCAGCTTGTCAATATCTCTCTTCAATTGTGGTGCCCAGAATTGGACACAATATTCCAGGTGTGGTCTAACCAAAGCAGAATAGAGGGGTAGCATTACTTCCCTAGATCTAGACACTATGCTCCTATTGATGCAGGCCAAAATCCCATTGGCTTTTTTTGCCGCCACATCACATTGTTGGCTCACATTTAACTTGTTGTCCACGAGGACTCCCAAGATCTTTTTCAACCTTCCTAATGTTGCGACCCCTTAATACAGTTCCTCATGTTTTGTGACCCCCCAACCATAACATTTTCATTGCTACTTCATAACTGTCATTTTGCTACTGTTATGAATCGTAATGCGCCCGTTCCTTGAGGTTTGACTTGGCCATGGTGGTCCATGCTCTTGTTACATCCCGTATAGACTACTGCAACACACACTATGTAGGGCTACCTTTGAAGACTACCTGGAAGCTTCAACTCGTCCAACGTTCGGCAGCCAGGTTGCTCACCGGAGTGACATGCAGGGAACATACAGGGTGAGGCAGCATAACTTCCTTTTTTCAAAACTTAATAAAACCCATTGTATGAATCAGAATTTTTTTTTTTGTAATGTAGGCGCATACCTAAAGTTTTGTTTTACGTAGTTTTGAAGATCAAATTAGGTAGGTGACGTCCCCCATTCCTCATACGCTGAGTAAACAAATTTCTGGCATTTGCCATGACTCTTGCCAGCGTAGCAGGCATTATGTTGGCAATTTCTTCCTGGATGTTGGTCTTCAAATCTTGTAGAGTTCTTGGATGCTTCACATAAACAAGGGATTTCAAAAAAAACCCATAGAAAAAAAATCACAAGGGGCCAAATCTGGAGAGTGGGCCGGGCACTCCAAATCCGTTCTAAAACTAGGCCTCGAATGGCAAAAGCACGCTCCTCACTGTTCCAACGCATGATGGTGACTGAACTGTGTCAGGACAAAACTTTATATTCCTGCATCTTGAATGAGACCACTAGCGCTCTGCTACGTCTTCAACTGACTGAATGGCTTACATTTTTAAAAAGGAAATTATGCTACCTCACCCTGTACAACTCCTTTGTTACGCCAACTCCACTGGCTGCCGATCAGCTTCTGAGCAGAATTCAAAGTGCTGGTTTTAACCTTCAAAGCCCTAAACGGTTCTGCCTCAGACTACCTGTCCCAACGTATTGCATCTCACGAACCATCACGAAGTTTAAGATCTTCAAGAGAGGTCCTGCTCTCGATCTCACCATTATCGCAAATGCGGTTGGTGGGGACAAGAGACAGGACCTTCTCGGCAGTGGCCCTCCCGTCTGTGGAACTCCCTTGCCAGGGATGTCAGGTTGGCCACCTCCCTTCCGTCCTTCAGAAGACAAGTGAAGACTTGGCTCTGGGACCAGGCATTTGATTAATCAAATAGCGGCAATTGGAAAAAAGATATGATATTTACTGCCTAGACTTGGATTTGATTTTACCGGCATGTATAATCAACTGTCTAATGAATTGTATAATGTGTTTTAATGATTTTTTAATGTTTTAATGGTTTTTAATGCTTTAATTCTGCTTTGAATTGACAACATCCTATGGTGCTTGTGTGAGGCCACCCTGAGTCCTCCTTCGGGCGGGGGGGGGAGGGAGAGAAGGGCAGGGTAAAAGTGCATGAAATAAATAAATAATGTAAATATATGCAGGATGTGTTTTCATTCACTGGAACAGATTTGGCACAAATACACCCAAATTTGAATACTGGTAGGGTTGGAAAGGGCGGGGCATTGATTTTGTCATTTGGGAGTAGTAGTTGCAGGGATTTATAGTTCACCAGAATCAAAGAACATTTTGAACTCCACCAACGATGGAATTGAACCAAACTTGGCACACAGAACTCCCATGACCAGCAGAAAAAACTGAAAGGGTTTGGTGAGCATTGACCTTGAGTTGTGGAGTTGTAGTTCACCTACATCCAGAGAGAACTGTGGAATTATGCACTGAGACGTGGAGTCTGATTTGTGGGGGTAGAGATAATTTGTTTATCACCTAAGGAGGATTTCCTATGTCCCATCACTCTTGTCATAAAGTATCTCTCTCTCTCTCTCTCTATCTCTATCTATCTACCAAACCCAAGAGTGCTCACCATTTTTTTTTCATTCTGGAAAGAAGTGACTACTAGAGCGCTGTAGGGTTCCGTTCTGGGCCCAGTGCTGTTCAATATCTATATTAATGACTGAGGCCCCTTCCACACAGCTGAGTAAAGTCTCACATTTTCTGCATTGAACCCAGTTCAAAACAGATAGTGTGGGATTTTCTGCCTTGATATTCTGGGTTATATGGCTGTGTGGAAAGGCCATTAGATGAAGGTTTAGAGCAGGGGTCCTCAAACTTTTTAAACAGAGGGCCAGGTCACAGTCCCTCAAACTGTTGGAAGGCCAGATTATTATTTTTTTAAACGTGAATGAATTCCTATGCACACTGCACATATCTTATTTGCAAAAAAACACTTTAAAACAATACAATAATTAAAACAAAGAACAATTTTAACAAATATAAACTTATTAGTATTTCAATGGGAAGTGTGGGCCTGATTTTGGCTGATGAGATAGGATGGTTGTTGTTGTTGTTGTTGTTGTGTGCTTTCAAGTTGTTTCAGATTTAGGTTGACCCTGAGCGAGGGCCAGGTAAATGACATTGGAGGGCCGTATCTGGCCCTCAGGCCTTAGTTTGAGGACCCCTGGTTTAGAGGGTGTGCTTATCAAGTTTTTTTAGATGACATCAAATTAGGAGGGATAGCTAATACTCCAGAGGACAGGATCAGAATTGAAAATGACCTTAACAGATTAGAGAGCTAGGCCAAAACTAACAAAATGAATCTCAACCAGGATAAATGTAAGATACTACGCTTTGGGCCCTTCCATGCAGCCCTATATCCCAGAATATCAAGGCAGAAAATCCCACAATATCTGCTTTGGACTGAGTTATCTTAGTCCACACTCAGATAATGTGGGATTATCTGCCTTGATATTCTGGGATATAGGGCTGTGTGGAAGGGTCCCTGGGGAGAAAAATGGAAATGCAAAAATACAGAATGGGTGATGCCTGGCTTGAGAGCAGCCCATATGAGAAAGATCTTGGGAGTCTTTGTGGAAAACAAGTTGAACATGAGCCAACAATGTGATGCAGCAGCTAAAAAAGCCAATGGGATTTTGGCCTGCATTAAAAGGAGTATAGTGTCTGGATTGAGGGAAGTCATGGTGTCTCTCTATTCGGCTTTGGTTTGACCTCACCTGGAATACTGCGTCCAATTCTGGTCACCACAGTTTAAAAGAGATATTGACAAGCTGGAAGGTGTCCAGAAGAGGGCAATTAAAGTGATCAAAGTTCTGGAGACCGTGCTCTATGAGAAGTATCTTGAAGAACTAGGCGTGTTTATCCTGCAGAAGAGAAGCTTGAGAGGAGACTTGTATAAATATGTGAAAGGATGCCATAAGGAAGAGGGAGCAGTCTTGTTTTCTGCTGCCCTGGAAAGTAGGACTCAGAACAATGGGTTCAGCTGACAGGAAAGGGGATTACACCTGAACATTAGGTAGAACTTCCTGACTGTTCAGCAGTGGATCTGGACCAAACTTGTCATGCATATCTGATATGCCCAAATTTGAATACTGGTGGGTTTTGAGGGGAATTGGCCTTTACGTTTTGGAGTTGTAAGGAGTGGGATATATAGTTCACCTGCAATCAATGAGCACTCTAAACTCCACCAAAGATGGAATTGGACCAAACTTGGCACACAGAACCCCCATGATCAGCAAAAAAATACTGGAGGTCTTTGTGGAAAATTCACCTTGATTTGCGGGAGTTGTAGTTCATAAACAGCCAGAGAGCACTGTGAATCCAAACATGGATGGATCTGGACCAAACTTGGCATATCAACCTGATATGTTGAAATTTGATTACTGGAGGGGTTTGGAGGGAACTGACCTTCCTTTCTGGGAGTTGTAGTTCACCCACAACAGAGATACTGTGATCTCCACCGATGATGGACGTGGACCAAACTTGGCACACTATCCCCATGACCAACTGAACCTACTATAGGGATTTGAGGGGACTGACTCAACATTTACCCTACAGCCAGAGAGCACACTGAACCCCACGGATGATACATCTAGAGCAAACTTGCCCAACATAAGCAACTTTTAGTACTGTTGGAGTTCACCCACAACCTTATGCATTTTGTACAATTAAAAAATTGAGTTTTTCAAATAACTCGGGCAATGCCAGGTACCCAAGCTGGTATTATATAAATGAGAAATATAATTTATTCTGTAATTTCTTTCCTGTCTTTCAGGACAATAAAAAATATTTTAGGCGCAGTGAACTAGCTAAGAAGGAAGAAGAAGCATATTATGAAAGGTGTGGCTACAAGGTAATGCAATAATGTTTCTGTTAGCATTTCTGCTTAGTTAAGCAGTTTCTGTTTGTGGTATTTTAAAATATATGAATAATAATTCTTTGTCCACTCTATCACTATTGCTCTTTAGCCTGTAAACGAGAAGCCACCAGGAGAGGTATGAATCCCCAAGCAAAGTTTGCAATGCAGGGAGAGGCATGCATGGATATGCAGCTACTTTCATTGTGTTTATAGTTTGGCTTCTTCTGTGGAGGGCATGAGATTGCTTGACAGTAAAGCTGCTCTTTTTTTTTTTAAAGTTTTGCTCCAGCAGGCATGTACATTGGATCTAATATAAACCCCTCCCCTTTTTATTGAACACCAGAGGCTGATCATTTCTAGACTCCCAGTCTGGTTTCTTTATGCTTTGATGTCTAGAAAAAAGTCCAATATTGGTGGTTATTTTCTGTTTTCAGCCCAGACAATCCATTTCTTACAAGACAGTGAAGTGATGCTTTGGATTTAGGGGATCATGTAGGAGAAAAATAGAAAGATAGTTTGTATTTGAGAGTCATCATAACAATGAGTTATTCGGAAGGCCTCCTTTTGCTGGCATGTCTGAAAAGCAATTTGGATGTGAAAATAGTACTTTAGCAAACTTTAGAAAATTGGGCAAACAAAACCTGCATTAGACTCAAGATCTGCTTCAGAGTCTTCTAAATTTACCCAAACAGCTTGTCAGTCCAATATATTAATGCCATGAAGCTGTTGAACTTGTTACTCTCCCACTGAATTGCTCATCTGCTTAGAGATGGCCAAACAAGTTTTGTTGCCTAAAGCAGCCAATTTTCATTTCCTTTATTAGAAATTAAATTATAATGCTTCATTTCTTTATTTTCTGTCGGCCATCATAGAAGTTGCTAAAGCTTTGTCAAACAACATTTATTATAACAAATGAAATTAAGTGAAGTATCCCCTCCCCCAACAAATCTGCTATCTGAAGCAGCTTATCTCCTTCTGCTTCAAGGTTGCTTGACCGTGGTTGATATATCCACCAGGCATTTGGGAAGATGGCAGCCTGACTAGTGTACCATCAGTCCTTATAAAATCAGCTTAGCACAATGGGCTCTCTAACTTCACAGTCATATGGGCTTGGATTTTGTATGCAATGAGAAACTTCACATTTCTCATTATAACTTACTAAATATAAGAAATACTTAATCAATTTGATAGTTAATTTGGAAATGAAACTGGGTCTTCTGCAAATTATGAAATTTTGGTATTATATTTCCTTGAAATATTTTTTAAAAAGTTATCACATTTCTGATTTCTTAGAAACAAAGATAGTAATATATCCTATTTAGTGCTGTTATTGCTGACAGATCGAACTTGAATTTATTTATTTATTAATTTATTTATATCCTGCCTTTCTCACAATATAAGGACTTGGGGTTGTGCAGGGAACATGCGATCTTCTGTTATTAAGCTATATCTTTTATCAGCCCTACCATTCATAACACATATGTGATGATAGGACTTACACTTCAACACTTAAAGGGCTACATGTTTCCTGTCATGTTATAGTGTGAGCAGGATTACAGTGAGAAAATGGGCATGGTACAGAAAACTAGCATATGAGGGCAGACAGATATTTGATTTAGTAGCTGTGCTGATATCTGTTATAGTTATTTATTTATTTATTGTGTCAGGAGCAGACCAAACAGTTGCATTTCATTTCTTAACAAACAAACAAACAGAACAGAACAGAACACCAAGTTAGCAAGCTTGGTAGTTGATTAAATGTCCTTTGACCAGTTGCTGGCCACTTGGAGTGCCGCTGGTGTTGCTGTAAGAAGGTCCTCCATTGTGCATGTGCCAGGGCTCAGGTTGCATTGCAGCAGGTGGTCTGTGGTTTGCTCTTCTCCACACTCGCATATCGTGGATTCCACTTTGTAGCCCCATTTCTGAAGGTTGGCTCTGCATCTCGTGGTGCCAGAGCGCAGTCTGTTCAGCGCCTTCCAAGTCGCCCAGTTTTCTGTGTGCCCAGGGGGGAATCTCTCATTTGGTATCAGCCATTGATTGAGATTCTGGGTTTGAGCCTGCCACTTTTGGACTCTCGCTTGCTGAGGGTGTTCCAGTGAGTGTCTCTGGAGATCTTAGAAAACTATTTCTTGATTTAAGTCGTTGGCGTGCTGGCTGATATCCAAACAGGGGATGAGATTGAGATGTTGGTCCTTTCACTATTGGTTGCTACTTCCCGGCAGATGTCAGGTGGTGCAATACCGGCTAAACAGTGTAATTTCTCCAGTGGTGTAGGGCGCAGACACACTCATTTAGAGCCACATCCATTGTTTTAGCGTGGTGATATGTGTTCCACACTGGGCATGCATACTCAGCAGCAGAGTAGCATAACACAAGGGCAGATGTCTTCACTGTGTCTGGTTGTGATCCCCAGGTTGTGCCAGTCAGTTTTCGTATGATATTGTTTCTAGCACCCACTTTTTGCTTGATATTCAAGGAGTGCTTCTTGTAGGTCAGAGCACGGTCCAGGGTAACTCCCAGATATTTGGGTGTGCTGCAATGCCCCAGTGGGATTCTTTCCCAGTTAATCCCCAGAGCTCGGGATGCTTGTCTGGTTTTTAAAGTGAAAAGCACATGTCTGTGTTTTAGATGGATTAGGGATCAGCTGGTTTTCCCTGTAATAGGCAGTAAGAGCACCTAGAGCTTCAGAGAGCTTCTGTTCAACCATCTCAAAGCTCCCTGCTTGAGCGGTGATGGCATGATCATCAGCATAGATGAAACTCTCTGTCCCTTCTGGCAGTGGCTGGTCATTTGTGTAAATGTTGAACATGGATGGAGCAAGCACTCTCCCCTGAGGCAGGCCATTCTTCTGTTTCTGCCATTTGGTTCTCTGGCCCTGGAACTCAACAAAAAAGCTATTATAGCTATAAACATTTTTGTGGTAGTTCAGTAAAACAGTCTAGCTTACATTACAGTCAGTTCAAGTTAAGTGTTCATGCTGTACTTAGATAAATTAGGATTCAGTATTATGAGTATGGATGGAAATAACAGTAGGTCATTATAACTTACTAAATATTTTTACAGTGCACCTCATTTCTGTATTTCTTTGATTTTAGTATATTTAAAACAAGACAAAGAGGTGGCAGCATTTTACAAATGCAATTTGAGTTGTTTGAGAAGAGAAAGGACTGAAAAAGTCTTCTTCATTACTATTTTTTTCTGGTGCAGACATTACTTGTAACAGAGTCCAATTGGCAACAATTGTTTCAATCTGCTTCCATTTGGCAATTCTTACGATCAGGTGAATATATTTGTAGGATAATGCTTTTAAGACGTTTTGTATATCGTTTTATATATCGGGATATAATTCTATCCCGATATAAGTCATTGTAGTTTAGAGATATTTGCCTGTAACTTAAAGGGTCCTGGACATGGACTGCATAATCTTCTCGAGAGTTTGCTGAGGAATGGCCACAGATAGATGAAGGTATGGGCTGAAGTCAATAGAGAGACATGTTACGACAGTCGACAGTACCAAGATACCTCTGCCAGAATGTCATTGATTCAGTGAAAAATAGCAGCAGAAATTGATGCAGTGTCTCAGTTCACATGTAATGGCACATCATAGCTTGGCTTCCCCATCACTCAGGTTTCCTTCTGGGCTTCATGTTTTGATCAAAATATAGTTTGTCATCCTATCTGGACTTGGTAAACTATATTCTGTGTCTCCAAAGCTGAATGGGAAACACTGGTTTCTGATCACTGTTCATAGTTACCATATGTAGTAAACACAGTTCCTTTTTTCCATATGTTCCCAATTCCCAAGTCACTCTGAATGACTGCTGTTATCTGTGACAAAACTATTCAAAGGTTTCAAACATTTTTTGCATGTCAGCATTGCTTTGTGTGGTTAATTTTTTTCTTACAAGCAGTTCATGTGCCTGTGAGTTGAATTTGGTGTGTCCATATTTAAAATTATGCTATGTTATTATGCTCCCTCCGATTACCTAGATTAGACAGGAAGAAGAAGATGACGAAAAGAAGACAATTGCTTCATCAAATCCTGTATTAGAACTTGAGCTGGCAGAGGAGAAGTTGCCTATGACTCTTTCCAGACAAGAGGTAAAGAGCAGTTTCCGAATTATTGTATGGCCCTTTACCTATTACAAGAGAACGTATTGTCGTCAACCTTCCTTATCAATGAATTCTGCACCTACTGATTCAAGTATACATATCTTGATTCTTTTTAATTACAAGAAACGAGCCTTGATTTTTCCATTTTATTATAAGGACACCTTTTTGTATAGTGGGATTTGGGCATCCACAGATTTTCCTATCCACAAGGGGTTCTGAATCAGACCCTGGTGTGTACTAAGGGCCCATTGTACTTTTGTTTTTCAAAATGAAAATACTACTTATTTGATGTTTATTTGATGCAAGATCACTTGCTGTATATATGAAGTACACTCGTTTTCTACATGCCCCAAATTTCACAGCTGTTCCTTTGACTTTTAATCAGCTTGTACTATCCTTAAAGTCAATGTGGGGATAATAATAGCTTGCTGTAACTCAGAGTAAGTGGATGTGTAAGAGAAAGTAAGAGTCTTCCTCTTTCTCCTCCTACCTTTCCCTCCACCCCAAGTGCTGCTAAATGACAATTTTAAATCAACATTAAACCATTGTTTCAAGTCGCAATTAAATTGTAACATCTTAAGAATTGTTAAAAGGAAGAAATGTAACCTATGTTACATTTGTTTCAGCTGTTTTAGAATCCATCCATCTGGAATGACCCAGATTCTCAAACTGCTGATACAAATGGAACATAGCTTCCATTTAGCATTAAGAATGCTAGTTTTGCCCACTATTAATGCTCTGATCGTATTTGGAACATTCTAGTTGCATAATTTCCATCTGATTGGAATGGCCATGTTTGAAGTGCTAGTAGCACATAGACTTTTAAACAGCTGCCATATGTCATATTTGGGTTTGTTGCTGTACATTCTGTGTTCTTCAGAAAGAAGGATAAAAAATTACAGTAGTAGCACAAAAGTATAAGAGAAATGCTAAAGTGAGATTTGGAACTCTGTGCTTCCACAACACAAGGCTCTGGAACTCTTTCTAGAGAGATCGGACTGGCACCTACCCTGTCCACCTTCCGCAAGAATCTAAAAGCATGGATGTTCCGCTGTGCCTTTGACTAGGCAGTTCCAAAGGATTGGCCTAAAAATACCTAAGTTCCAGCACTTTAGCATGGTCCTCCGCTCTACAATCCCGCCCAAGGACATTACTCTCCCATCCCTGCCACTGAATTTTTGCACTTTCCCTTAGCTCTATCTAGGAATTTCCCACAAACTCAGAGCCCTCTGAACTCAGCACTTTTATTGCTCTGCATGGTACTGTTTTTATGATGTTATGTTTTATTGTCATATGTTTCTATTTGGTTTTGTTTTGATTCTATTTTATTGCGTTACGTTTTTAACTTTGTGCTCTCTGGGCTTGTCCCTTTTAAGCCGCCCCGAATCCCTTCGGGGAGATGGAGGCGGGGCATAAAAATAAAGTTATTTTTATTATTATTAAGCACAAATCGAGTGCTTTACATAAAATTTGTGATTTAAGAAGGAGCTCTGATGTATATAATAATAAGTACTATAACATTTATTTAAACATATTTACTGTATATACTCATGTATAAGTTGGCTTCATATGTAAGTTAAAAGATGGTTTTGGGGCCAAAACTGTGGATTTTGAATTTACTTGTGGATAAGTCTAGGGTCATTCTTTGGAGTGGAGAAAGATCCAGTACCATTTCAGACGGCCATCTACCCTAACTGCTGCCATTTTCTTGTCAAGGCATTAGAGAATACCAGAAATGGCACTATGGTGAAGAGAGTAGAGGCTTAGTGCTTCTTTTATGTTCTCCCATTACAGACTAGGCTCTTGCCTTTTGCCAATCTAGTAAAAAGAAGAGGATGTTTCCTTTTTTGAGAAAAGTTAAGGCTTAAGTGAAATGCCCTGCAAGCTTTTCCAGCTCATTAGATATGGTATCTTGTCCTTTAATATCAGGGAGTTCCTTCTTTTGTGCTTTGTGCTGAGCCTTTGCATGGACTTATCTAACCTGTTTTGTCTATGCATGTGCAAAGGAAGCTATTTGTTGACTTTTTGCAGGTCATTAGGAGATTGAGAGAAAGAGGAGAGCCAGTCAGACTGTTTGGAGAAACAGATTATGATGCCTTCCAGCGATTGCGAAAGATAGAAATTCTGACACCAGAAGTGAACAAGGTAATACCATTTAAGTCGATATGACTTAATGCCTAACTTGTGTATGTATAACATGGCATTTTTATGTAACTGGCTTCGGTTTCCTTCTAATTTTTAAGTGGATTTATGTATGTTTAAAGAAGTGTAATCCAAAGAAGAGGAACTCAGAAAAGTTATCTTCTCTGTTCATAAAACCACTAGTACCACTTGATTTTGCTTAGAACTAGCTTAATGACCAGGGTAGATATTTTGTAATGCTGTGTATTAAAAATAGTAATGGTTTAGTTTTGAATGTTATGTATGGTCCCACTAGACATTCAGATGGCTCTCTGAATGTAGGGTACACATGGGTTTTTGAATGGGTGAACAACAACTACCATCATCCTCTGCCAAACCCCCTCAAACCTCACCAGTATTTTCAGTTGGTCGTGATAGGTGTGTGTGCCAAGTTTGGTCCAGATCCATCATTAGTCGGATTTACATGGTTCTCTGGTTATGGGTTGAATACAATAACCACCATCTTCTATCATTGCCACTGCCATGTTTGGTCCAGTTCCATCATTGGTGGGGTTCACAGTGGTCTCTGGATGTGGGTGGATACAACTCCCATCACCCTAGTTCAGAAAAAAACTGAGTATTTTAAGGTGATCATGATGGGTATATGTGCCAAGTTTGGTCCAGAGCCATTGCCGTTGGCTGTGATAAGGCTTTCTGGATGTGGGATCCATTCTGGAAAATACATAGATTGGTAGATAGATATAGATAGATAATACAGGGTGAGGCAGCATAACTTCCTTTTTTCAAAACTTAATAAAACCCATTGTATTAATCAGAAATTTTTATTTTTTTTATYATGTAGGCGCATAACTAAAGTTTTGTTTTGCGTAGTTTTGAAGATCAAATTAGGCAGGTGACATCCCCCATTCTCCATACACTGAGTAAACCAATTTCTGGCGTTTGTCATGACTCTTGCCAGCATAGCAGGCGTTATGTTGACAATTTCTTCCTGGATGTTGGTCTTCAAATCTTGTAGGGTCCTTGGATGGTTCACATAAACATGGGATTTCAAAAAACCCCATAGAAAAAAATCACAAGGGGCCAWATCTGGAGAGRGGGCCGGCCYCTCCAAATCCGCTCYAAAAGTAGGCCTCAATGGCAAAAGCACGCTCCTCACTGTTCCAACTCATGATGGTGACTGAACTGTGTCAGGASAATACTTTATACTCCTGCCTTTRGAATGAGACCACTAACGCTCCGCTACGTCTTCAACCGACTGAATGGRGCACATTTAAAAAAAGGAAGTTATGCTGCCTCACCCTGTATTTAGTCTGGACTTCTATATTTAGCATTGTTGTAGCACTCTACAAGTTTGGCCTATTGATGTTTTAGTTAACGTTGGCTACATTATATGTAGCCATACACTTAATTGGGGTGAGAATGACCAGCTTGTCCCTCTCAGCCGTGGCTATATACATTTGCTTGAACATATACATAGTAATCTGTTGTGTAATCTTTTTTTTTTTTTTGAAAAAAGTAGCATTTCTAACTTAAGGTTTGTCACAATTCTTAAGCGTCATATGAGTTTTAGGGGTATTTTATAATGATTGTGAGATTACCTGATTACTTCCAAAGAAAGTCAACCAGTCCAAAAGTGACAGCAGCCTGTTGAGTCCCTTGATCCTAATTCAAATTTTTTGAGGTTTGGAATACCACTCCCACGAAGTCCCAGTCAATATTATTAATGAACAACAATGTTAGGAGTTATAGCCCCAAGAACCAGGAGGGAATCAGCTTTTAAGACCAGCCTAGTATGGTCTTTGAAATGGTTGTGAGAATCAGAAAAAATAGGAGATTTAAACTCAAGCCAAGAAAGGTGCAACTGCATCGCTTATACTGATGCTGTGTTGCCTCAGTAAATTAAAATTGGCAGGATATGTAATATACAGGTGTGCATTTCTTGGATTGCACTCTGTGATGAATTACCTATCTGTTAGGCTAAAAAAGTAGGCCCAGGAAGTTCAGCAGCCATTTTAGAAGGGTGTCTGGGGACATCCATCTTAGAATCTCATTTTCTGGAGGGGGTGTGCTTAGGAGCAGCTTGGAGGGAAATGAGGGGAGTTAGTGATTGGCTGGGAGAGAGTGGGCGGAGCTTAACTTGAGAAAAGAAAAGAAATTGTCTTTAAGGGTGTGTTTTAAAACCTAATAGCTCAGAGAGAGTCTGGGTGTCAAAGAAGAAGGAAGATTATGGTTTGCTGTGAAGAAGAGAAAAGTTACGGAAGCCTGAAGTTGGTCAGTTAGCCAGCAGAGATAGTTAGTGAGAAGATTTACAGCTATTGGGAAGGATAGCTGGGGACTGGAGAGACAGGTCCAAAAAGGAAAGGATTGTCTATATGGAGTTTAGGATACTAGGCAGAGAGGATACTTGTCAGTAATTCCTGGAGGGAGAGAGGAGTGTTATGTGCAACTAAGTTTGGAACTATTTAAAGAAACCACACACTTTATTCAACATTAAAACAGCTAAGCTTAACCTCTGTTTTGTTCAAGTTCTCTCAAATAAACAACATTGTTCTTTGTTCACAATCACTGCCTCAGTGTGCCTCTGCGTGTGAAACTCTAAAGCAGTTTACTGGAGAAATCAAAGGGTAAATGGTGGCAGCATATATTTTAAATAGTAATCTCTTCATTGTTACCTCAGAGCACAAAGCCTGAGTGAGAATCCAGCACATTTTAGCCTAAAGATTCTTCAAGACAAGCCAAGGGCTTAACATTTCTTTTAAGGGTGGTGGTAGCCAGTGTTCTTTTAAAAAGAAGATTATTCCAGCATAATCAGTTTTGATTTTAAATTAACTAAGCCACATTCCATTACAAGTAGTGGTGTACAGCTTGTGGTATTTATACAATAGATAATCCTCTATTTATTATACACTCCCTGCACCCAAATAATGTGTTGTAATCTTTACTGTTCTTTCTGCAGGGATTGAGGAACGACCTGAAGGCTGCTTTGGACAAAATCGACCAGCAGTATTTGAATGAAATTGTCGGTGGCCAAGAACAGGGAGAAGATGACACACAGAATGATCTCAAGGTCCATGAAGAAAACACAACAATTGAAGAACTGGAGGTATTATACCAAACTACAGAATGTGTTGAAACTAAATTTGCAGTTATATGTTTTCTTTGCTATTGTGTGCCAAGAAATGTTGGATTCTTCAAAACATTTATCAATTATGATGTTTGAGAAAATGTGCAACTATCAGAATGAATTATTTTATACATTTTCTGTTTTCTTACTAATGGATCCAGTTTTAGTTGTGATTATAATGTATTCCATCCTCCCACATCCACCCCTTTTTAAAGTACATATGCATAATTCTACCATGTGTATGGTATTACTGATCTTATGTAAATCTGTATTGAGATGTTGTTCAAAACACATGTAAATACAAATATGCATTTTTTTCTAGGCTTTGGGCGAATCATTAGGACAAGGTGATGATCATTATGACATGGATATCATAACTAAATTCTTAAAGGTAAAAACCCTTGCTTGTGCACCATTAGGGAGAATTCATATGGTGCTAAGACAATTTCTACATTCTCTCTTACTTTTTTTATAGAAATAATTGCTATTAGGTTCTTGTGGGTATTTTCGGGCTATATGGTCATGTTTACCATTTGGAGCCATGGAGAAGAAGAACTCAACAGGTTCCTTGGACCATCTTAACAGCATCCACCCAAACATCCAATTCACCATGGAAAAAGAAAATGAAGGAAGACTGCCTTTTCTAGATGTCCTAGTCATCCGCAAACCAGATCAACAATTGGGTCACACCGTCTACAGAACCCCCCCTCCCCACAGATAGATATCTACGTAAAAACTCCAACCATCACCCAAGTCAAAAAAGAAGCACCATTAAAGCCTTGGCAGACCGTGCAAAAAGAATCTGCGAACCCCACCTCCTTCAAGATGAACTGAACCACCTCAACTGGGCTCTCCAGGCCAATGGATACTCCACCTCAGACATCAGAAGAGCTGCAAGACCAAGAACAAGCCACGAGAGTAAAGATGAAGATCCACCCAGAGGAAAAGTGTTCTTGCCATACATCAAGGGAACCACTGACCGCATAGGGAAGCTGATGAGGAAACACAACATACAAATAATCTACAAACCCACCAAGAAAATCCAACAAATGCTACGTTCAGCAAAGGACAAGAGGGATCCTCTTACCTCTGCAGGAGTCTACCGTATACCATGCAGCTGTGGACAAGTCTACATAGGGACCACCAAACGCAGTGCCCAAACACGAATCAAGGAACATGAAAGGCACTGCAGACTACTTCAACCAGAGAAATCAGCCATAGCAGAGCACCTGATGAACCACCTGGACACAGCATATTATTTGAGAACACAGAAATGCTGGACCACTCTCACAACCACCATGTCAGGCTACACAGAGAAGCCATTGAAATCCACAAGCATGTGGACAATTTCAACAGAAAGGAGGAGACCATGAAAATGAACAAAATCTGGCTACCAGTATTAAAAAACTCTAAAATTACAACAGCAAAACAGCAGAGAGGAAACAACCAGGCACATCTTAACACCTCTCAACAGAACATTTTCCCAGGCTCAGGCAGGCCTTCAAATGCTAATGAAGGTGGTCAGCTGAAACATTCACACCTAGCTCTAGCAGAGAAGAGCTCTTTGCCCCACCCTAGCATTCCACAGATATATAAACCCTTTTTCCTATTTCCAACAGACCTCACTAGAATCATAGAATCAAAGAGTTGGAAGAACCTCATGGGCCATCCAGTCCAACCCCTAGCCAAGAAGCAGGAATATTGCATTCAACCCCTGACAGATGGCCATCCAGCCTCTGTTTAAAAGCTTCCAAAGAAGGAGCCTCCACCACACTCCGGGGCAGAGAGTTCCACTGCTGAACGGCTCTCACAGTCAGGAAGTTCTTCCTCATGTTCAGATGGAATCTCCTCTCTTGTAGTTCGAAGCCATTGTTCCGCGTCCTAGTCTCCAGGGAAGCAGAAAACAAGCTTGCTCCCTCCTCCCTGTGGCTTCCTCTCACATATTTATACATGGCTATCATATCTCCTCTCAGCCTTCTCTTCTTCAGGCTAAAAATGCCCAGCTCTTAAAGCCGCTCCTCATAGACCTCACTACCTCTGAGGATGCTTGCCATAGATGCAGGCGAAACTTCAGGAAAAATGCCTCTAGATCTAGAACATAGCCATATTGCCTGAAAAAACCCACAAGAACCTAGTGATTCCAGCCATGAAAGCCTTCGACAATACATAATTGCTATTGCATTTCTAGTTTGATCCTAGATTGAGTTGCTTATGCAAAAATAATTTCTAAACTCAGAATAAGTGGCCAGCAATTTGGAATGTGAAATGTGCATACCCAATATGGATTTGAAGATTTTTCCTGAGCTAAAGCTTTGGAATTTGGCAATGCACAGGGAAAACCTGGTCCTTTTTTATAGCTGTGAATTGAACTATGGGTGGGGAAGGAAAACAGCAGGCAGGAGAACCTGCCCCTGTTCCTTGCATGCAGAAAGTTTCTAACCTGTTTTGCACTTGGGTCTTTGTGAAGCTGCACTGAATTCAACAAAGTGACCAAGAAGAAATATTTATTTAAAATAGTGTAATGAAAAGCTCACCTTTATACCACTTTTATGCCTGAGGTCAAATGTGAACCAGGCACGGAAAGCAAACCATTGTTCTTTTAGTTTCCTCTTGTTTGCAGTTTAGGAATTACAATCTTACAGAAGGATTGTAAACATTCATGTGATAATGTATATCAAATGCTCTGAACACTTGAATTCTGTCATACAGTTGAGCCATTGTACTGTGTTTATTGTATGGTCACTGTATAGTGCTTCATTTAGTACAGTATTAAAAATACTTTAGTTCTAATAGGACTTTCCACCAAAATAAGGTTATGGAATTGCAACTTTCTGTTTAGCCACACTGAGGCAGTATGACCTAAACTCTTTGTCTTCTGCAGTTTCTTCTTGGAGTCTGGGCTAAGGAGCTGAATGCCAGGGAGGATTACTTGAAACGTGGTGTCCAGGGAAAGTTAAACAGCGCCACTCAGAAGCAGACAGAGTCATATCTGAGGCCACTTTTCAGGAAACTTCGGAAAAGGGTAATGTTCTTTTTCCTGTCTTTCTTTGCCATTAATAATGACAAGGTGGTTTTTCACCCCTACTTAGCCATGTAAGGATGACTAGTGGCCATTTTCTTTGACACAACCAGAGAAAACAGACAGCTGGTCTATATTATGCAGATCATGTAAAGCTGTTTCAGAATCATATTATTTCAGATTAATTACTATTCTATAGCTGTACTTCTAAAATTTGGAGCGTTCTTCATATCCTTTATTGGGTTCACTCTTCCAACAGTCCTCTGTGCAGGATCATGATTATAATTTGCAGAAAGAAATTGATGTGATGTTTTTGACTCACAGAAAGGCACAGAAGAATCCGCATGGAAGGAGTAGATATTTTGAACCAAGTCTCTCAGGGTCACATCCAGTTGTTGGCCAGTTAAGTGGAGTGTTGGAGTTGGTGGCTTTTAGAGTTAGGCAGCTGGTATTGGATCGAGGAGTCATAGGAAATGGAGGCCATTAGGGCATGGGTGCAAAGCAAGGGCTTGGGATTTGGTATTATGTGCAGAATTACACCAAGACATTCCTTTGAGTGAGCATTTTCTTGCTTATAATTCTTGAAAAGAAAGTGAATTAGAATGTAATGATTAAGCATCTGAAGCAGCTTGTTCCTGTTTGCCTGGAAATCCTACACAACACAAATGCATTCTGTTGAGCCCTTCACTCCTTGACATTACACAGAAAAGAGAAATGGAGGCAAGTAGACTAAGGTTAAGATTAGAGAAGGATGCTAAAAGAAGGCCGAACAAGGAGGAGGATACCCTGATCCAGTGCTGGGAAACCTGTGTGCTTCCAGATACTTAATTAAGTTACTACTGGCCAGGGTTGTGGCAGTAGTACTTTGATATCTGAAGGTCCATGGGTTGAGCAGACCTGGACCTCCAGCTCCTGTCTGTTCATTCTGTGCCTTCCCAGATTAAGGAATCCCAAGCAATTGTCCCTAATGCACTTTATGAGAGATTTGTCTGCACACCCTTCTATTCCCAAAATATCCATTCTACCTCACCTGGACATGCCCAGCATTTTTAGAATTTTAACTATTACATTTGGTCCTGCAACGGGTTTTTAACAGTGTTGTGCTTTTGTTATTGTTTTATTGTTGCTTATATATTGTTGCATTGTATTGTTGTCTGTTGTGTTTTTGTTAATGATGTACTTTGGGCTCGGCCTCTTGTAAGCCGCACTGAGTCCTGCGGGAGATGGTAGCGGGGTGCAAATAAAGGATTATTATTATTATTATTATTATTATTATTTATATATTTTTCTCTAGCTACTTCTCTCCCAGTCCTCTTTTTTTTAGGCTGCTTAAAGTCACTATCCCTTCATGATTTCACTCCCCCCCCCCCCATTTTGTCTCTGTCTGGCTACTTCTCTTCCTCCTCCTCCTCCTCTCCTCTTCCTCCTCCTCTTGCTCCTCCTCCTCTTCCTCCTCCTCCTCCTCCTCATCCCCCCCCACTCCTCTTTAGCTGCTTAAAGCTCTCTTTTGACCCTGACTTCCTCCCCTCAATGGTTTCTTCCTTAAAGAGTGTGAGCTGACTCCTCATCTTCTCTTTCTAATCTTAGAGGACCATCAGCATTTTGAGATTGAAGATAAGAGAGGCAAAAATGTACCATCATTGTAGTGCCGGATAAGTTGGTGAGGCAACTCTGTCAGAGACAAGCCTAAATAAAGGGAATTAATTGAATAAAATCAACTCCATCTTCCTCATAAAGCCTCCAGCACTCAAGCAGCTATGTCACGCACATCATTTTCCGGTCCCAATTCAAGGTGCAGGTGCTTACCTACAAAGCCCTAAATGGTTTGGGACCCGCCTACCTGCGTGACCGCATTTCTGTATACGAACCCACACGATCTCTTCGATCATCTGGAGAGGCCCTGCTCGCGATCCCACCTGCACCGCAAGCGCGATTGGTGGGGACAAGGGACAGGGCCTTCTCGGTGGTGCCTCGACTCTGGAACTCACTCCCCAAGGACATCAGGCATGCCCCAACACTGGCAGTCTTTAGGAGGAGCTTGAAAACGTGGTTGTTCCAGTGTGCCTTCCCAGAATAAGGAAACTCCAAGCAATTTGTCCCGAATGCACTTTATTAGAGATCTAGGATCGTCTGCACGCCCCACCTATCTTCAAAATACCTATCCTATTTCACCTGGTCATGCCCAGCATTTTTTAACAATTTTAATTATTACACTTGGCCCTGCCATAGGTTCTTTTAATGCGTCGTGGTGTTATTGTTGATGTTTACTGCTTGTTTATGAGTTTATTTATTGTTGTATTGTTGTTGTTGTTGTTGTTTTACTGATGTATTTGGGCTCAGCCTCTTGTAAGCCGCACTGAGTCCTTCGGGAGATGGTAGCGGGGTACAAATAAAGGTTTATTATTATTATTATTATTATTATTATTATTGGAAGCAGTACAATGCAGCAGCCACATTTATTTATTTTATTTATTTACAGCCCAAAGGTGACTCAGGGCGGCGTACAAATTGGCACAATTAGATGCCATATAAAAATACATACATTGGTTAAAAGCAAAAAAAAATCACATTACAATACATTTAAAAACCATAAAGCAATAACAATAAAATTATAAAAACTTAGTCTTATTGTTCAAATCCTCAAACGTTCCATCGTCTTAGCCATTCCTAGCTCATATTCCAATTTAAGTTTGTCTGGCCATGCTGAAGTTCCAAACGCTTGCTCAAAGAGCCAGGTTTTCACTCTTTTTCAAAAGGTCAGGAGGGAGGGAACTGATCTAATATCCCTAGGGAGGGAGTTCCACAGCTGAGGGGCCACCACCGAGAAGGCCCTGTCTCTCATCCCCACCACACGTGCCTGTGATGTTGGTGGGATCGAGAGCAGGGCCTCCTCAGACGATCTCAACTTCCTGGAAGGTTCATAGGGAGAGATGCATTCGGATAGATAAGCTGGACCAGAACTACTTAGGGCTTCATAGAAACAATGTCCACACCAATCACTCATGTGCAAAGGAGGGAACTGGGCTACTTTGAGGTTAATGACATTATTCGAAAAGGAAGTGTGTTTGATTCTAATTTAAAAATTTAATAAATAGGTTGTTGGATGTATGAGAATATTGGGCTAGTGGATGCAAAGTATTACTTTTCTCACTTCTCTGCATGCTCTTTTGTCTTTATTTGTTCTTTAGACTCTTCCTGCAGACATCAAGGAATCAATAACAGATATTATCAAGTTTATGCTACAAAGGGAGTATGTGAAGGTAAAAAAATCATCTTTTAAAATGGCAGGGCATTTGTGTCCCTTAGCCGAATTGGAATAAGTTGTGTGAAAAGTTACCATGTAACTCTTCAGGGCAAGGATAAAGGATAAATGTAGTAACATATGTTCAATACATGTATGCATGCTACTATTTAAAAATGAGGACAGAGATAGGGAGATCCATTTTGTGATATGGTTCCCTGTATACATCAATGCTTGTTGTTCAGCTAGACTGAGGGTGCCCCCGGTGGCGCAGTGGATTAAACCCCTGTGCTGGCAGGACTGAAGACCCACAGGTCGCAGGTTCAAATCCGGGTAGAGGCGGATGAGCTCTCTCTATCAGCTGCAGCTCCTCATGCGGGGACATGAGAGAAGCTTCCCACAAGGATGATAAAAACATCAAAATCATCCGGACGTCCCCTGGGCAACGTCCTTGCAGACAGCCAATTCTCTCACACCAGAAGTGACTTGCAGTTTCTCAAGTCACTCTTGACGTGACAAAAAAAAAAAAGCTAGACTGAGCAAAAGATCATTGGGAGTTTAATCTGGGTGGAAAAACAGGAGGGGCCAATTTTAAAGTTTATTGCTAGCGTGTTTATTACCAATGCTTCCTCTTCATCCTGGAAAGAAGTGACGAGTGGAGTGCGGCAGGGTTCTGTCCTGGGCCCGGTCCTGTTCAACATCTTTATTAATGACTTAGATGAAGGGCTAGAAGGCATGAGTCATCAAGTTTGCAGACGACACCAAACTGGGAGGGATAGCCAATACTCCAGAGGACAGGAGCAGGATTCAAAACGATCTTGACAGATTAGAGAGATGGGCCAAAACTAACAAAATGAAGTTCAACAGTGACAAATGCAAGATACTCCACTTAGGCAGAAAAATGAAATGCAAAGATACAGAATGGGGGATGCATGGCTCGAGAGCAGTATGTGTGAAAAAGATCTTGGAGTCCTTGGGGAACAAGTTAAACATGAGCCAACAATGTGATGTGGCGGCAAAAAAAGCCAATGGGATTTTGGCCTGCATCAATAGGAGCATAGATCCAGGGAAGTCATGCTACCCACCAAAATTCAAGAGAGATATTGACAAGCTGGAATGGGTCCAGAGGAGGGCGACTAAAATGATCAAGGGTCTGGAGAACAAGCCCTATGAGGAGCGGCTTAAGGAGCTGGGCATGTTTAGCCTGAAGAAGAGAAGGCTGAGAGGAGATATGATAGCCATGTATAAATATGTGAGAGGAAGCCACGGGAGGAGGGAGCAAGCTTGTTTTCTGCTTCCTTGGAGACTAGGACGCGGAACAATGGCTTCAAACTACAAGAAAGGAGATTCCATCTGAACACTAGGAAGAACTTCCTGACTGTGAGAGCCGTTCAGCAGTGGAACTCTCTGCCTCAGAGTGTGGTGGAGGCTCCTTCTTTGGAAGCATTTAAACAGAGGCTGGATGCTCATCTGTCAGGGGTGCTTTGAATGCAATATTCCTGCTTCTTGGCAGGGGGTTGGACTGGATGGCCCATTAGGTCCAACTCTATGATTCTATGATTCTGTTCCTAAAAATGCAACTTTTGCTTTAATTAAAATTGATAGTATGTATAGATGACCTTCTTGACTTGAGAATATTCAAAAAATCAAGACAAAATCTTAAAAGCAAACCCTTGTTTTCTCCATTTTCTATAAGGGACACAATTTTACCCCAATGAGACTTATGCATCCAAGTATTTTGCTATCCCTGGGGAATCAAACCTCAAGGGATACAGAGGACCCAGTGCACATAGAAACAACAATTAATTGGAAGTGGTGTCACTAACAGTAAAAAATGTAAGCACAGGGCTGTAGATTTCTTATGGCTGCTGAACCAGTAGGCCACTTCTGAATATTAACTGTGGTGAAGTGTGAGTTTTAATCTACAGTTATGTATAATAATAGATAGGTGTTTAAAAGGGAAGGTATTTAAACTAGCATAACTGGAGGGATGGTAGCCAGCTCAACTCAGTTTGAGCTGGGTTGCCATGGAAAAGGGGCGGAGCCAACTGCCACTTGGCAGGGCAGCCATTTTAAAATGGTTAGTCTGTAGTCAGCGAACTACAGGGAAGGCTAGTTCTGTTGTGTGTTGAGAACCAGAAAGGTAGTCTGTAGTCTAAACTACAGGGAAAGGCTGAGTCTGTTGTGTTGAGAATCAGGAGGGTTTAGGCTTTTAGCCTGTGAAGTTTAGATAGGTTGAGTTGACTTATTTATATTAATAGTCAGTGTATGAGCAAAAGGGGGAGAGAACCCTAATAAGAATCTTTACTGCAACAGAAATAACATAAGGTAAGTATAAGCTTGTACCTGAAGTAATCTGTTAAAGAAAGAAACACATTTTGAAGGAAAATAAGTTTAAAACCTGTTTAGTGGAAGGAATAGTCCTCTTAAGAGTTGTTTTATGAAATGTTATAAATGTAACCTCTGAAGATATGTGCCTCTAAGAGTTAAGAAACATTGAAACCATCAAGCTTCTTCTATACTTCAATAAACTTGTTACAGTTTCTTCTAAAGCCAAGTCTCTACACATTGAAGAAAGACCAAATCAACATTACAAGCTATTAGTTGTGTTATCAATTTAGTAAGTCCTTACAAAGTGGTGGTTCCTTTACAAATTTTTACAAATTGGTGGCATTGTTACAAATTGGTGGCCTCTTTGCATTAGCTCTGTCCACTGTTTATGCAAATTTGTGTCATTATCTTTCCCATTTTGATATCTGGGTTCGTAACTAAACATTGTTTCTTCAGGCCAATGATGCCTACCTTCAAATGGCTATTGGAAATGCTCCCTGGCCCATTGGTGTCACTATGGTTGGCATTCATGCCCGAACGGGACGAGAGAAGATTTTCTCAAAGCACGTGGCTCACGTTCTAAATGATGAAACTCAGCGGAAATACATCCAGGTAAGGGGATAGATTTTGTATCTGATGACTTTCTTCAATTTCTAGAGATGGCTTAAAATGTCAGTAGTAATTATTTTGGATGCACAAATAATGGAATGGGTAAGGAACTAGTTATTTATTATTTATTTGTTTCATTTATATACCGCTTTTCTCACCCCTAGTGGGGGACTCAAAGCAGTTCACAATGAAGTAAATGGCAAAATTCAGTGCCTAGCAAATTATAAATACAACACATTAGTAAAAGCATATATGATAGATTAAAACCAATAAACATAAAACATTGGACATAATCTCCATATAATTTAAAACATTCAACATTGCACCAATCCCAAAGATATCTTTTTTATTAATCTTTTATTAAGGGGTAAAATAGGGTTACAAAAAGGGGATAATTTCTGAACTTATTTAAAATAAACAGTGAGTAACTAAAAATGAAAAACCACCTCCACCAGTGAATTATAGAATGAGAGAAAGAGAGAGGGAGGGGAATCACCAAAGAGAGAAGGAAAAAGAAGAAAAAAAGAAAGAAAGAAGAAAATGTGGGAATTTGTGGAGATAGGAGTGTGTATTGGTCCATCAATTTCCCTCAGTCTCTTCTCGTCTTATCTTCATTATAGCTAACTTGAGTTTTCTACAAAAATTTTAATCGCCGTCCAAATTAGTCTTTCTTGTTGTAGTTTTCAGGTTCTTTTGAGTGCATTTGTTAGACTGTCCATTTTCATTATGTCAAGGATAATGAATGGGATCTCTTTGCTCTTCCATTTTTTAGCGTATATAATTCTAGCAGCAGTGGCCATATGGAAAAATAAAACTTCCTTATTTTTCTCCGAATCTATATCTGCTATACCTAACAGATAGTATTCTGGTTTTAGTTCTATTTTTAGTTCCAGAATCCTCTGTGTCGCTTCGTGGATCTCTAACCAGAATTTTTTGGTTTTCTTACATAACTACCAAAGGTGGAAAAAAGTTCCTTCTTTATTTTTACACTTCCAGCATCTATCTGATAAGATCTTATAACACTTTGCCAGCTTACTTGCTATGTAATGAGGACTCGGGAGGAAATTCGACAAACATACGAAAACCTTTTGTGGTTCCAGTATAGACAACTGACCGAGGTTTATAACAAGGATAAAAAATGGGCTTTGAAGAAGGAGACAAATTATGGGACAAAATAATGATACACCTACGCAACAGACCTAAAAGAAAATTGGATGAAAATGTTCATAGGTGGTATATGACACCAATCAAATTAAATCACATGTATAAAAATTTGTCAAAAGCATGCTGGAAGTGTAATGACCATGATGGGAGTTTCTTTCATCTTTGGTGGAGCTGTGGGGAAGCTCAGAAATTTTGGAAAGAAATCCACGCAGAAACTCAACAAATTTTAATAAGAAATTCCCAAGGAAACTAGAATATTATTTATTGGGAATTACAGATTCAAATGATGACATTTTGTTCATGTATATGACAACAGCGGCTAGAATTGTATATGCAAAGCTTTGGAAGCAGAAGGAAACGCCAGCGAAGAGCCATTGGATAAAAAAGATAAATGAAATTAAAGACATGGACACATTAACTTTCTTATTAAAAAAGAACACAGGCAAACCGGTTAAACAAACAAATTGGTCATCATTTGAAGACCACATAGAAAAGAAATATAAGGAGATGTAACTGGATTAATTTTATAGTAAAGAAATGTAAAAATGGACATTTTTACTGGGGAAAGCACATAGACAAAAGAGACATTATGGGCAGAATCAGAAGGAATCCCCCACTTTTTTTTCTTTAACACTTAATGGACTTGGATTTTTCTTTTTGGACTCTCATTTTCTGCTGTGTGTGGTTTTCTATATATATATATAATTTTTATTTTTTATTACTTCTCTTATTTTCTACTTTTCTATCTTCTTTGGTATATTCCCCCACTTTCCATGTAATTGTATATTCCTTTAATAATAAAAATAAAAATAATGATAACCAGGAAGAAGGTGATCGCTAAAATTTATAAAGCTTTATTAAAATGGTTGACAGAGAAGATCCAAATAAAGGACTGCATGAGGAAATGGGAGGCAAACATTGGACATACCATAAAACACACAGATTGGGGAAAAATATGGACCAACAAATTAAAATACACCAATTCATATGACTTATGCGAAAACTGGTTTAAAATAATGTATCAGTGGTATAATCCCAAAGATGACTACTTGATCTCACTCCCCAAATGTTTGAAGAGCCATGTTTTTAGTTGTTTCCTAAACCCCAGGAGTGTGGGGACTGATCTAATCTCACTGGGGAAGGCATTACACAGCTGAGGGGCCTCCGCCGAGAAGGCCCTGTCTCTTCCCATGAGTCATGCCTGAGAAGGCGGCGGGACTGAGAGCAGGACTTCCTCAGCCGAACTTAATTCTCTAATTGGCTTGTAAAGGGAGATGCGTTTGGATAGGTAAGCTGGACCGGAACCGTTCAGGGATTTATAGGCTAAAGCCAGCACTTTGAATTGAACTAGACTTACCGTATATACTCACGTATAAGCCGACCCGAATATAAGCCGAACCACTTAATTTTACCTCAAAAAACTGGGAAAACGAATTGACTCGAGTATAAGCAGAGTGGGAAATTCAGCAGCTACTGGCACATTTCAAAATGAAAATAGATACCAATAACATTACATTAATTGAGGCATCAGTAGGTTCAATGGTTTTGAATATTTATATAAACTTGTAATTTAAGATAAGATTGCCCTAACCCTCTTCAATGTAAATGTGCTTACGTATCCTTCTAAAAATAATAAAGACAGTAAAATAATAAATGTAATAATAATAATAGAGTGAAATAATAAATGCAATAATAGCAATCATAAATAGAGTGCAATAATAAATGTAATTATATCAATTATAAAATAAAATAATAACTGTAATAATAACAATAAAGTAAAATAATTATAATAATAAATCAAGTAAAATAATAAATGTAATAAAAATAATAGTAATGACAGAGCAAAATAATAAATCACCTTGACTCAAGTATAAGCCTAAAACAACGGTTGAAAAACTAGTCTTATACTCGAGTATATACAGTACTTAATTTTTGCATTTCGTGTATGCTGTCTTTCTCCCAGAGTGGGACCCAGTGTGGCTTCCAGAAAGAATACCCCCCTTCAAAACAATAGCAGTTTAGAGCAATTAAAATCACGACATAAACATTAATATCGTTTAAATGATATGCCAACCTTTTTTGAAAGGTGCTGAATTGAACACTGTTTGTGTCTTAATATTGGCACTAGAATGTGCGAAGCAAGGCCAGAAAGTTATTTTTGTTCTTTACAATATGTTCTGTATACTTGATCCTTATGAAACAAATAGCATCCCACTAAAAAGCTTCCTTGCTTTTGACATGGGCCTCTTTAGCTCTAGTTGCTCAGATACACCTTGAGTTGGACTCCAATTGCATCACAGTGCCAGGGGAGGTGAATGAGGCATCTGCTTGTCCAATTTTGTGGGATTCTTTTAGGCTTGTTCTTCCTGAGACCGTGGAGGAGGTCCTTGGTGCTATGAGGGCGACCACGTCAGCTTTAGACCCTTGCCCGTCTTGGCTTATTAAATCGGCCAGGGATGGGTTGACTGATTGGTTAGTGTTGATCATTAATGCATCATTGGAGCAAGGGGTTTTTCCATCTCGACTAAAACAGGCTGTGGTCCGACCACTCCTGAAAAAGGCTTCCCTTGACTCCACTGTGCTGAACAACTACAGACCAATCTCCAACCTCCCTTTCTTGGGCAAAGTGCTGGAGCGGGTGGTTGCCTCCCAGCTCCAGGGCTTTCTGGATGACATCAATTACCTGGACCAGTCACAGTCTGGCTTCAGGCCTGGCCACGGCACCGAGATGGCTTTGGTCACCTTGGTGGATGACCTCCGCAGGGAACTGGTGGTGGCCAGGAGGGCTTTTGCACAACTGAGACTCGTGTGCAAACTGCAACCGTACCTCGTGAAGGCGGATCTGGCAAGGGTGGCAAGGGTGGTCCATGCCTTAGTCACCTCCAGATTGCAATGTGCTCTATGTGGGGCTGCCTTGAAAACGGCCCGGAAATTCCAACTGGTCCAACGGGTGGAGGCCAGGTTGTTAACTGGTGCTCCTTACAGGGAAAGGTCAACCCTCCTGTTTAAGGAGCTCCATTGGCTGCCATTCATTTTCCGGTCCCAATTCAAGGTGCAGGTGCTTACCTACAAAGCCCTAAATGGTTTGGGACCCGCCTACCTGTGTGACCGCATCTCCGTATACGAACCCACACGATCTCTCTGATCATCTGGAGAGGCCCTGCTCACGATCCCACCTGCGTTGCAAACGTTGGCAGTCTTTAGGAAGAGCTTGAAGACGTGGTTGTTCCAGTGTGCCTTCCCAGAATAGGAAACTCCTAGCATCATGTCCCAAATGCACTTTACTAGAGATTTAAGATTGTCTGCACACTGCACCTATCTCCAAAAACCTATCCATTTCACCTGTCACGTCCAGCATTTTTTAAAGTTTTAATCATTACATTTGGCCTGGCCTTAGTTTTAAATGTGTTGTGGTGTTATTGTCTAATGTTTACTGCTAGTCTTTTAATGTTTATTGTTTTGTTTTTATGAGTTTATGAGTTTATTTATTGTTGTATTTGTTATGCTGTGTTGGGCCTCGGCCGCACCGAGTCCTTTGGGAGATGTTAGCGGGGTATAAATAAAGGTTTATTATTATTATTATTATAGCATGATCATCAAGTTTGCATATGGCACCAAATTGTGGATTGCAGGCTACCCTGAGTAGCCCCCCCCCGGGGGGGGTGAGAAGGGCGGAGTACAAATATAGGAAATAAATAAATAAATAAATAAATGTTTATTTTACATCTCTGTGTGGTTGCTGTGGTATCTTACCAACTTACTATTTGTTCATTTCTTTAGGGTTTGAAGAGACTCATGACTATTTGTCAGAAACACTTTCCGACAGACCCATCCAAATGCGTGGAGTACAATGCTTTGTGACACAACGGCAGCCAGTGTCTGCTTTTGGATATTTGAGCGATGAGAAAAGAATGCCATCTCTGTAAGAACTCTTGAAGTGTGCGTCAAAGTGGGCTGAATCAGTCAAATAAAAAGCTAGGTGCTTTTACGTAAGCTCCATTGAAACGGTCGCAGTTATTCGTACTTGGATAAAGTTGTATATTTTAATTTTTTCATATTACATTACAAGGAAAAAAATATATATTTATAGAAATGTCTATAGTTGCTGCATTTGGATTGCATCTTAAAATATGGTGTGAATGGAGAGCCTGTGGACGTTGGGAAAAATGTTGATGTGTCTGCATTATGATTGAACTTGAGACTTTGGTTTATTGCACCCAACAAGTCTGGATTACAACCAGCCATAAAATCTGGTTTATTGTATTCCTTCCAAGTTTATTCACCTCCTTGTGTGAAGGGAGTACAAACATGTACTTTTTGTGAGCCATCTGGTCCTTTCTGTGATAAGTCACAAGTATACAGATACAATAACTTCAGAAATGCCTTATGAGGACCAGCACTTACTCCACAATGTAGTATGAAAACATTATGCTTAACGGAACTAGTCCAGCTAGATATATTGTGTTATTCTCCCAGTTCTCATGTGCAAGCTATCTGGTTTGCTTTTGAGGCTTCTTGTCAAATAATGTCTTAAATCTGGTGCACATTTCTAGGCATTCAGACCTGAAAAGTGTTTTGGAAAATAATTTGAATAGTTATAATGATCTGCTTTCCAGTACCAGTTACTTAACAAAGTAGCCTGTCTACTTTTATTGAGACCAGAGGCAAGTAGTAAAGGATGTCAGTTTCCTGGTTTCCAACCAAATAAAAGGAGAATTTTATTTGTTTTATTTATATTATTTTATTTGTTTCATGTATCCTTCTTCTATAGTTAATTGCATCTACAAAAAGGTGTCTGGAATCACAAATGTTGATAAAATTCAGTACATTCAGCAATATAAACGAATCCTGATGTTTTATTTTGAAATCATGTTCTGGAAATATATTCATTTTAGCTGGTGCCAAAATGATAACTAGTTTTCTCTTGGGAGGGAGTGCTGGAGCTGACATGACCCAAAGCTAAAGGTTTAGCCATATACACTATGGTACTTCCTGCAGACTACATACCATTCCTAAAAAGTATTAAGTTTTTTTTTCTTGGTATCTTGGATTTTAGGCCTGTTCCTGAGGTTATTTGGGGCATTGATTCGGAAAATGGGATAGACTGCATCAGTTCTAGCTTCTTATAGATGATGATGATGATGATGATGATGATGATGATGATGATCTTTATTTATACCCCGCCACCATCTCCCCAATGGGAACTCAGAGCGGCTTACATGGGGCCAAGCCTGAACAACAAATTACAATACAAAAATACAAATTGTAATAAAATAAACAACTGGGTTGTTGTAGGTTTTTCCGGGCTATATGGCCATGGTCTAGGAGCCCCTGGTGGCGCAGTGGGTTAAAGCACTGAGCTGCTGAGCTTGTTGATCGAAAAGTCGCAGGTTCGATTCCGGGGAGCGGCGTAAGCTTCCGTTGTCAGCCCTAGCTTCTGCCAACCTAGCAGTTCGAAAACATGCAAATGTGAGTAGATCAATAGGTACCGCTCCGGCGGAAGGTAACGGCGCTCCATGCAGTCATGCCGGCCACATGACCTTGGAAGTGTCTACGGACAACGCTGGCTCTTTGGCTTAGAAATGGAGATGAGCACCACACCCCAGAGTCAGACATGACATGACTGGACTTAATGTCAGGGGACTACCTTTACCTTTAGGTTGGCAGAAGCTGGGGCTAACAGCAGGAGCTCATCCTGTCCTGTGGATTCGAACTGCCAACCTTCTGGTCAGCAAGTTCAGCAGCTCAGCGGTTTAATCCATTGCGCAACTGCGGAGAGGGCAAAGAGAACCTTGCTCTACTGACCTAGTCTTTTCTTTTTCCCGTTGAGCACCGCTATTTAGGCATAAGCCCCTCTTGAATGTTGCTCTTTATTTACTGTTTTGATTTAAAAGTTTTTAAATACTGGTAGCCAGATTTTGTTCATTTTCATGGTTTCTTCCTTTCTGTTGAAATTGTCCACATGCTTGTGGATTGCAGTGGCTTCTCTGTGTAGTCTGACATGGTGGTTGTTAGAGTGGTTCAGCATTTCTGTGTCCTCAAATAATATGCTGCGTCCACGTCGTCATCATCATCATCAGATCATCCTCTCACCTTTGCAGGAGTCTATCGTATTCCATGCAGCTGTGGACAAGTCTACATAGGGACCACCAAACGCAGCATTGCCCAGACACAAATCAAGGAACATGAAAGGTACTGCAGATTCATTCGACCAGAGAAGTCAGCCATAGCAGAGCACCTGATGAACCAACCTGGAGACAGTATAATAGTTGAGAACACAGAAATGCTGGACCACTCTCACAACCACCATGTCAGATTCACAGAGAAGCCATTGAAACCACAAGCATGTGGACAATTTCAACAGAAAGAGAGAAGAACATGAAAATGAACAAAATCTGGCTACCAGTATTTAAAAAAAACAAAAAATCAAAAAAAAAAAAAAACACCCCCCCCCCCCCCCCATTTATCCACTTCCCTCATTCCAAAAACTTTCAACAGAAAAGAAAGGAAGAAACCATGAAAATGAACAAAATTTTGGCTACCAGTATTAAAAAACTCAAAAACTCTTTGTGCTGATGTACATCATTATTTGATTTTCTCTAAAGAAGCATTTATGGCTTTCTACATAAATGCTTCAGTGATAGGTTTGTTTCTCTCTCTCAGTGCTTAGTGTATTTCATTCAAGCTAAAGCTGTCAAAGCTTAGTAGATGATATGAAAAACCCTCTGCAGTTTAAAAGTAATTAAAAATCGCACAATGTATTGTCGAAGGCTTTCATGGCCGGAATCACTGGGTTGTTGTAGGTTTTTCCGGGCTATATGGCCATGTTCTGGAGGCAATTTTTCTCCTGACGTTTCGCCTGCATCTATGGCAAGCATCCTCAGAGGTAGTGAGGTCTGTTGGAAGTAGGAAAATGGGTTTATATATCTGTGGAATGACCAGGGTGGGATAAAGGACTCTTGTCGCACAACTTGTTGGGGGGCATGAAAATAGAGTTGTGAGGAAGCAAGGCTGTTGGGCCTGGAAATATGTGAGAGTATCCAGATGCAGTTAAGAAAAGGAAGTGAGATATGAATTGATTTGTAGACAGTTCTCAGAGGGACTGAATGTAACAGGAAGTATTCTCCACAGAACTGTTTTTCTCTGTCATGCATTGAATTACTGATTTCTGTAGCTTGGCTTTAATTGCAAGCTCTTTAAATAATTCAGAAATATTGCCATGTGTGATTTACATGAACTGTAATATTTCTCTGGGTGGCATAATTTATTTAAAGTTATATATTATCCTTGAAAGTTCTTTGGAGATTCAGAAAATGTATTTATCTTTCACTTCTCACAGCAGTGATGTTTTTGGTTTTATGCTTTTTTTGGCAAAGTAGAGTCAATGATCAAATTGCTGCTTGTTATGTTGTCAATCGCTTTTTTGATCAAAAAGTTGTGTTTAAGAGCACATTGCCTAACTGGTGGTTCATAAAAATATGCTTCCTGTACTGAATTGCATCCTGTGCAGGAATAACTTTATCCTATAGCAATCTGTGGAATGGCATATCCTTGGAAATGGGGAAACTGCGAAATATTTTCTCATGGCAAGTTAGCCTTTTAAGAGTTTCCAGCTGTCCTAACTGCTACAGTCCTGAACGCTGCTCTGGCAACTGTTGTACATCCCTTGATTGAAGAATGTTCCCAGTTGCTGGGCTTGACCTGAATTGAAACTTCCAGTTTTTATTCAAATACTTTCAACTCTACTCCTTTGAAGTTTGTTCTGAGGATTTTCTTTAAGTGTTCACAAGGGAGAACATGAATTATTGCTACCACCTGGTGAACGTTGCAAAATTGTTTTTCTGTTGAGTGGGATATTATTCAGAAATGTCTCTTGAATTTTTTATATTCCACTGGGATGATCATGTTTTTGCAAAATAGTTGCTCCAGCAATTGCCCAGAAAGGAAAACAAGGCCAAAGAGTCTTACTTTGATAACACTGTAAATTTAGCCACATTCTCATCCTAAAGTATCACTCCAGCTGCCTAAAGGGTAAGAGTAGTTTGTGAGGAGCACAAACCTGAGAGAGAAAGTTACCTACAGTTATGCCGTGGCATCATAATTTCACAGATCACAGGAGCTGTCTTCATAGACCTGTCAGCAGCCTATGATACTGTGAACCACCGCCTCCTGAGAAAAATGTATAATATCACAAAGGACTACCACCTCACCCACCTCATAGGAAACCTGCTACAAAACAGGAGCTTTTTTGTTGAGTTCCAGGGCCAGAGAAGCAGATGGCAGAAACAGAAGAACGGCCTGCCTCAGGGGAGCGTGCTTGCTCCATCCATGTTCAACATCTACACAAATGACCAGCCACTGCCAGAAGGGACAGAGAGTTTCATCTATGCTGATGATCGTGCCATTACTGCTCAAGCAGGGAATTTGAGATGGTAGAAGCTTTCCAAAGCGCTAGATGCTCTTACTGCCTATTACAAGGAAAACCAGCTGATCCCCAACCCATCTAAAACACAGACATGTGCCTTTCATCTCAAAAACAGAGAAGCATCCCGAGCTCTGAAGATCACCTGGGAAGGAATCCCACTGGAGCATTGCAGCGCACCCAAATATGTGGGAGTCACTCTGGACTGTGTTCTTACCTACAAGAAGCACTGCCTGAACAGCAAGCAAAAAGTGGGTGCTAGAAACAATATCATACGAAAGCTGATTGGCACAACCTGGGGATCACAACCAGATACAGTGAAGACACCTGCCCTTGCGCTGTGCTACTCTGCTGCTGAGTATGCATGCCCAGTGTGGAATACATCTCACCACACTAAAACAGTGGATGTGGCTCTTAATGAGACATGCCGCATTATCACGGGGTGTCTGCACCCTACACCACTGGAGAAATTACACTGCTTAGCCGCTATTGTACCACCTGACGTCTGCCGGGAAGTAGCAACCAATAGTGAAAGGACCAAGGCAGAGACATCTCCAGCTCATCTCTGTTTGGGTATCAGCCAGCACGTAAACGACTTAAATCTAGAAATAGTTTTCTAAGAACTACAGAGACACTCGCTGGAACACCTCAGCAAGTGAGAGTCCAAAAGTGGCAGGCTCAAATCCAGAACCTCAACCAATGGCCGATACCAAATGAGAGACTCCCCCCTGTGCACACAGAAAACTGGGCGACTTGGAAGGTGCTGAACAGACTGCGCTCTGGCACCACAAGATGCAGAGCCAATCTTCAGAAATGGGGCCACAAAGTGGAATCCTCGACATGAAAGTGTGGAGAGGAGCAAACCACTGACCACCTGCTGCAATGCAACCTGATCCCTGCTGCATGCACAATGGAGGACCTTCTTGCGGCAACACCAGAAACACTCCAAGTGGCCAGATACTGGTCAAAGGACATTTAATCAACTACCAAGCTTCTCAAATTTTGTATTTTGTCTGTTTGTTTGCTTTGTTCTGTTAGAAATGTAATATAATTGACTGGTTGACCTGACACGACAAATAAATAAATAAAATCATAATTTAAGGTCTTATAAAGTGTAAAAATGCTTACACGTCAGACATTCATCTTGAAAATGCTTTAATAAGGAAGTGTTGACAACACTGTTTTTGCAAAATGTAAGGTAACTATACAAATTCTTAATACAAAAAGAATAAATTAAAAGCAGATTTTTAAAAAAATTCTGTAACCGTTTCTACAACATAACAATTTTCTTCCCCTTGATTACCGTTGCACAGGTTTCAGTAAAATCATTTTACATGCTCTACAGTCAGTTTCAGAAGAGTTCTAAGTTTTTTCCTTATTTTAAACTAGAGTCCATTTTGCACAACTTGTAATAAAACTA